CACGGCTACATACCCGGATGCCACCTATCCAGGTATGTAGCTCTATTACAGAGCTATAAAGCTTCTGCACTGTATTCTTGCCATGGATTATTTATTGATTGATTACACAGTTTAGTAACCCTTTGAGACTGATTGATGTGACCTTGAAATAATTTTGTTCCTGATTATTTTTTTTGTATCTCAGAATGATTTGATGCTTTTTGAATTCTTTTGAATACCATTGTCAGTATCATGTACTATATATTATAATAATGTTGTCAGATGGACTCCATTAGGGTTATTTCTTGATTCTACAACTTTAGCAGTAGTAATTAAAAACCTTAACTTAAAAAATCATTGCAGTTAATTTGTGATTTAACAAAGCAAGCAAGTATTTGTTTTTCACAAAGGGGGCAGGTTGATAAAGTTCCCTATTTTATTTTAAAGAGGAATGATAGATTTTTCTGATATTACTGCCACCAAAACTTAAAATTGCTCGAGAATTGTGTTGCTCAAGCTCTCACTAAACAAGTTATTATTATTATTTTTTTTTTACTTTTTCCACCTTTCCTGCAGTCACCGTGGATGTCTGATTTTAGCTGAATGCTGATCGCTTCTGAGTATTCACACAATTCATCGCGGATATAACACTTTGATTGTTTATTTGACGTCACATCTTTTTATGTTTTTCTTTTTATGTTTTGTTGCTGTTGAAAGACGAGGGCAAAGTTTATGGTTCAGATGTATACCTCAATGAATTGAAGAAATAAAGCCATAAAGGTAGAAGGTTAACTATTTATTCAATTGTAAATAATTTAAAGAAATTATATTACACTAGTTATGTTAAGATCTTTTATTCTAGGTTTCGATCCAATCCCAATATTGGTTTGTAATACAATGCTTTTAACTACAGTAAACATACAGAGCTGTTTTTCACACAGAGAGGCACATACAACTATACAATGGTAATTCCCCACCTTTAGTTGCTATAGGATTGATCATTGAAAAATAAGTGTCAAAAGATCCTTAAATGTTCACATTATCAACATAAAGATCCACCATATTGTTAGGCATTTGTGTGTTTCTAAATTGCATAATCTGCACAAAACGAACAGTGTTACGTTAGGGTGCAAAGGTACAAAATGTTACTTTTGCCAGATATAATCTGGGTTTTATCCAAACAATCTGAAATCCTTTTCTGAGAAATCATTGATGTATGTCAAACATACAGATGGGACCTGCGTGTCGGACTGAGTCTCACATCTTGGGAGTCTGAAACTATAACAACCTACATGTGTCAAAGAGCCACAAGGCATATGAATTTCTAACAGGACACCTACGCTCTCATTATTCACTGTATGAGGCTGAACACCATCTCTGAATAACGAGGAAATATGACTGTAAGTTCTGTAGTCCTGCAGACAGACAGGGGAAAGCTTACCTGTCTTGTTTGCTCACAGTAACAGAAGAACAAAGCAAACATCCCCCAGTTACAGAGACACTCATTGATAATAGAGATGACCAAAAATCACTGTTGATCCACTCCGCTACAGCCCCATACTCTCTTGCACCCACACATCCTCATCAGCTGTCTGGATTGAAAGCTATCTGTAAACAACATCAGCATGGCTGTGAAGTAAGGCGCACTTTCACAGCGGTGTGTAGGGAAAGAAAGACAGAAAGCATAAAAAAAGAGGGATAAAGTAGGAGAAACAATAATGAAATGATCTTAAGATCAAGAGCTTTAGAGGGACTGGGGAAGAGGAAGAAATAAATACTTGCAGAGAATTGTAAGTTAAAATCAGCAAATCCACTACTTATATGGGAAAATTCATTCAATTAATTCATCCATCTAAGCTTTGTAGTACACACTGCACATATAGCAGAAATAAACATATATACTTAATCCATGTGAACATCATTGCACTGCTGTGTCTGTGCTGTTACACTTTCTTTTCTTTAATGTTTTATTCTATAATACAAAAAAATCAGGAACCTCTTTACCGAGTTAAAACATGAATTATCAGATGACATGATTACATCTGTGTTGTCCAGGCTTTTGGACACAAAGCGGCTACGGTTGTCGGAATACACATTTAAGGCTGTGACACACTATGGTTTAGAGTTTGTGTGAGTAAAATGTCCAGTAGATGACAGTAATTCTTACAGAATATCTCATTATGAAATGGGATCACAAATTTGTATTCCATGTACATTACGTCTAATCCATAGAGTTAAAGTTATACATGCAGGGTGGAGTACTTTAACCTTACCCCACTTGTATTTGATTAAATATTCCTTTAGAAGAACAAAATGCCTTTAATCTACCTAAAAATCTGAAAATATATTTTCATTAAAAGCTTTCCAATAAGATTTGCATCAAACTTGGAAAAGGATAGGTCGTTTCATCGGGAAAATGATCATGCATCATGGGTGTTAAGGAAAGAAGAAAGCAGGCTTGCATTAAACTTTAAGAATTACTCTTTAATATACTGAAAATCTGTACAGTAATCCTTGAAAGGTTGGGTCTGCCTCAGGGAACCAAACATTTTAAATAAGCTCTTCCAAGTTAGGTCAAACATACCAGATGTTCTGTAATTTATCCCAAACTGTCAGTAAGCAAGAAAAATCACTAAATAATAGGGAGGTGGATATATGATTAAGCAGGTCTGTATAGTGTTGTTCTTCAGTGGATTGGTGTAAACATAAAAACAAAAAATATCAAACATCTGTCACCAGATATTATTTTCAAAATGTTCAATCATAAAAGTTAAAATAGTTCATTAAAAATCTAAATCTATAGCACAGTTTGTTCCAGTGATCATTTCAGGTTTTTGAGCAGAATTGTGTGTGCCTGTGTGACACAGTCACAGCCCTGACTGGTTGATGGATCACTCAGGGAGTGGGAGGATTTATAGAAACAGCTCCCTTTCAGACCTGGGAATTCTTGTAAAATTTTGTTCATCGAGAGAGCAATTTCCGCTGTGATTAACAAGCAGGAAGCATCGCTGTATGCATTCACAGGCTTTCAGCTAGAATTTTGATTGGTGACTCAGGACACCAATGCCTATAGAGGACTGTGTGTGGAAAAGAGATGAAAAAGCAGAAGCCTTTCAGGAGTAAGAGGATGAGGGACAGAGGAAATGAGGAGCGAGCTTTTCCATCAGCGCTGCTCTGATCAATATCGGTGTCTGACAGAGACGCTGTAAAACCTTTATCGTAAATCACTTCCTATTATGATGTAAACTGTAAATCACGCATGCACTCCAACACATAATACATTCAGACACATATAAACCATGGCTATTCAGACTAAAACAGCCAGCTTTGGCACACAGCAACAACTTTTATTAATGTGCCTTTTAAATGACACTGAAAACGGATGACACATTTCACTCCACACAGAAGGACGAAGCTGATCCTGCTCTTCTGCACCACAGTCCCCTATTATTATAGTTCATAGCAGACTGTTTATTGCTGTTTAACCTTTCCCTCCTTTTTCTATAACATGGGCATCTTATGTCCTACACCTAGACCAACACAAAATAGCAAATAACTACATGTAGCAGTGAAAAGTTAGAATGCATAATAAATCTTAAATAAATCCATAAAACTGAGATGTGCATCTGTATTCAGCCTCTATAGATCAACACTTTGTAGAATTGTTTTGAATCCTAAAGCAGCAAGTCTTTTCAAGTTGGTGTCTGTCAAAATTCCATATCAACGGATTTGTTTAAGAATAAAATTTCTTCCCAAAAAATCCCGGGCTGAGTCATTTCAGACACTGTCTGTTCATCAGTTATCGTTTTGTTCTGAACCCCTCCATTGTAGCACCAGCTCCGAGTTTAGATCCATTTATTTTCTCTTCCCTCAGCATGATACTACCCCCACTATGAGGCTTGTGTGTTGAGGGCGATGTTTAGTGTTAGATTTCTGCCTTGTGTTGTTTTTGCTCGTAGTCATATCCACTACATGGTTTGTGGTGAACTGGGAAGACCACTTCTTATAGTTTTCTTCTCACCAATCTCCTGCAAAAGGCTTTAATCAGCTAATAGCTTCCCTGCAAACAGTCACTCCCACTTAAGTCATGGATCTCTGCAGCTCCTGCTGCAGAGATTCATGGATGGTGGACTGAAAATCACCCTGAGAGATGTTTAAAGCTCTGGAAAATATTCAATAACCCTCTGGAGGGTTTAAAAATAAGGGATCAAATGTCTTTTTTATGTGCAAAAAAAAAAAAATTGGTAGAATTGCTTTCTACCAATCTTGTAATAACTAAGGGGGTTAAAATACTTTATACTGTAAATTCCCACAATTTATTTTATACACGTTTGATAGTCTGAAATTTAATGAGAAACATTTTTAATCCAGAAATGTCATTTTGAACATTGGGTGGACTGTAAAATTTGTTGCATTATCATATTTCACCGGCTACTTCAAATATTTAGGCCAAGGTATAATTTGTCTCTGGGATGGAGGGACAAAGAGGTCCAGCAGAGACAGTGCTTTCTGAGGAAACTTAAGCCAGCATCCTTACAGCACACAGAGTTGTGGTGAAGAGTGTGTTGAAACACTTTATCTCATTATTGGGAAGTGAGAAGAGCCTAAAAGAGATGTGTCCTGATATTGTCAAGAATCTGCTTCACTATCCTCACAACCAGAAAGGAGCAGATCTGCTGCCATCAGAGTGGGTACCAAAGTGTCAAAGGTAGAATCACCTAAAAGCTCCACAGCTTTCTTTCTCAAGCTATTAAAATGCTGGACTGCTTATTAAGATTTATATTATTCTATTAGTGTTTTATTTTATCTGCTTTACTTCCTATTCAATGATACAGTACTTAAACCTGATCTGCATCCAGAAGTCATTATTTATTACTATCCTCAGATATAATGAAACAAAAACAAAAAAAAAATCCTCACAAAATGCTTTAGTAATTGTCCTGACTCAACATAATGACAGATAAGGCAGCTTAGATACATTCAATTGAGCTTTAGAAGACAACCAGCAAGCCGATACTCACTGATTCAGTTCCACATCCAGGATAAATGTTTTTCCAAAAGCATCAACTTGAAAGGTGGCCTGGGATACATGCTCCATCTGAAAATGCAGAAAAGACATTTTATGTGCTACCTGCAAACATTCACAGTGCAGCTCATTAGAATTCACATGGATCAGCCATCCGCCTACATTGATGGATGGCTGCTTGTTAGTTTAGCAGCATGGATCAGCAGGAAGGAACCTGCTTTCATGAAGTCATCAAGGTGAATTTTATTTGTCTGGAGCTGATCCACCACTTTTTTTTTTTTTTTTTTTTTTGCAGACAAGCCAATTTTTCACAAATTTTGTCAACTCTATTGCTCCTGTTCCCCAACAGGGATATAAAAACAACCAACTAACCTGATAAATTTTATTTCTCAGAAACATCTGTGCCCATGAAGCTGGTTACTTTGCAGTGCATTGATGCACCAGAGAAATTAAGTGCTTCCTTTCTGATCGATTTGGATGGAGCTTGGTTTATTTCAGTGTTGGGAAGCATATGGTGCTGGCTTTATTGCACACCCACTGGGTTCATGAAAATGACTAAATATAATTCTTGTGGGTTCAGAAGACACCTTTGAACACCCTCCCCCTTCAGCTTCAGCCCTAAGGCTTCCTTTATTATCGAACGGTGAGGTATCAAGAGGAGGAGGGGGTGGAGACTTTTTCTCTCTCCAGGAAATGCCCCTGTGCTCACCCAGAAATGACCCAGACCCCCCTGATGTCCACAGGGACCAGAGGCTCTATTGTTTACTGAAGCGTGCCAGTACCTAGTCAGAGCACATAAAGCAGTATGTGGTTTTTTACTTAAGTGCCTCCCAATATCAATGCAAACATGGTGATGTCATTTGTCATGGCAGAGGGAATTTGAACATCGAGGAGCTACCAGGAACCAGGGTCAGTTGAAGCATCTTGACAGAGCGCAGACGATCATTAAGAAACCAACTCTGACTCTGCTTACATCGATTTCTGACTTCAGCTGACCTGACTTTTCCCTCCAGATTGTCTAAGTACAACTGTAAGAGCCATCAATGCCTGAAGCAGAGAAGCGGCCTAAAAAAGACCCTAAAAGCACGCAGAAAAAACACGAGCACTCCGCTCCACCTCCCCCGCCTACTTCTCATTTAGCCTGGTTTGTGCGTGAGACTGAAAATAGGCAATAAGACCCTAAAAATAACTTACCACGAGTCACACCTTTTAAGAACTGCTTGACAGATTTTTTTTTTGTCCCATTTATCTAAAAACAGCCAATAAACTGATCAAACTTTGTAGAAATGACATCACAGCTTTCAACTCTCTGTAGATAAGACGGCACAGCCCACACCTCACTTCAAAGCCGCCTCCTCAGTTTGAATGCATTTTACAGTTCTGTGTAAACGCTGTACAACTGCATATAAGCTCATCTGGGGCTGCAATGAGGAACTGTAACACTTATTTGAACAATGTTTGTACAAAAAGAATGTGATTTAGTTACATCTTCACTGAGTTTTTCCTTTTTTATTAAGAAACAAAAGATTACCTTGTTGGAAAAAAAAACTATGCCTTAGAAATAAAGCGACCAGCTGTGCTCTTATCTGCCAAAAAACAACTTATATAACACAAACTGAAATAAATGAAAAAATGCAAGTCAGAATTTAAAATTTTCAAAAAGTTCTAGGGGATACAGAAAGAAACTGATGAATACACTCACAATAATTTTAAGTTGTGCATTTTTCATTTAGTCAATTACTAAATAACAGCAGAAAAATGTGAAAAAACATATTTTTAGCGCCCTCTGCTGGATATCCAGTGCTTTTTCTCCTTTTTGATATAAAAACATTGAATTATTTATTTGTTTTTAATTTCTTGTACACTGCTGTTGGTATGTAAGTCACATGGGGAACTAATATTTGGATTACATTCTATTTCCTCTTCAATCACGATGTCTGCATATTCTTTTGACAGAGACATGATGAGATATGAAGAGACAGGAGACAGCTGCTGGGACAGTTGGACATGAATTATCAAAATAGTAATTGTCTTTCATCATTAGTACTTTAACAAAAGCAGTGTGTCTCCTGTTTATGGACAATCTAGGCAAAAATATCTGATCTGTAAATAAATACTAAGGTTACCTAATACTAAATTAAAACACATTAGCATGTTTTCTGTTGTTTTTTTCTTATTCACACAAAGAATCAGCATCTCCAAATTGTCCAAATTCAAAAGAGGTTTCTCACTCACTTAGAACTTCAAACCCAACATGGCTGTTGAATTGTTAAAACAATGATATCTGCCAAAATACGGCATTTATTTGCATTTCTGTCAGCTCATTAACCTGTTCACACACAGAGCATGGTACAACCTCCATTAATGAACATCCTATGCAAGTGTTTGAATGGAAAATATGTGAAGAGGTAAATTGATATAGATTAAACAGAAAAAAACAGCTTGCTTTTAGGCAGATCAATCAGTGTAAAACATTGAATCTATTCCTTGAGTTTGGTGTCATTCCCGAATCCACATCACATCTTTAAAGGTGAATAATATCGCTCAAATAGTTGCTCAAAATCAGACCTTTTTTGTGATGCATATAAAACTGAGGCTAAGGCAAATCATACCTTTACAGTTTGTAATAAAAAAAATTAAACCAGTGGCACATGAAGAGCTATCAACTATTTATGAACATGTTTTTTGTGTTTCTATTTTAAGAGATAGAATGAACAAAATGTTTATATTGCTAATACAAGTTTGCGTCACGATTATTAAATAATTCCTTGAACCCCAGTCAGCTTCGGCAGATGGCCGCTCACACTGAGCCTGGTTCTGCCGGAGGTTTCTTCCTGTTAAAAGGGAGTTTTTCCTCTCCACTGTCACTACAAGCATGCTTAATGTGAGGAATTGCATTCGAGTCAATGAGTCGATGCAATCAACTGGTTTTCCTTAGATAGAAAACTCTGAATCAATTTGACTGTATGATCTGGTAAATTTTAAAGTGCCTCGAGATGAAATGTGTTGTGAATCGACGCTATATAAATAAACTTATTGAAATTGCATTAATGTGTTTTTGACTTGCAACCAGGACGGACCAATATTTAATGTGGTATAATTTCCAGATCCACCTTTTATTTCAATAGATTTGCACTATTCAGTTCAGCTTAAAAACAGCTCGGGTTATTAAAGGATAAAACAGGACTTATCTTAGTATAATATCAGGTTATGCATATTTCTTAAAGCATACATGAAAATTGAGAACAGGTTAAAACGGATTTGACCATCTTTTAAGTTATGAAAGCAATATTGACCCAGATAGTGCATCTAATCAGTGAGGATTGCTAAAGTGACTAAATCTTTCAGTAGTCTGTTTTGCTTTTTGTTATTAAGTGTTATTCCGCCCCCAGACAACAAGCAGAGGAGGAGATGAGTGTGCAAGATATAAACAAACTGTCCTGCAGGCATCTTTCCAGACAGAGACTCCTCTATCCATCCTTGACAACAAGAAAAACAACACGCGGTGTGTACCTGCGTGGAACCCGGGCTGGCCTTCACTCTGGTGCTGAGCTCATCGTGGGTAATCTGCCTGTGGCTGTGCCTGCTGTACACGAGGCGGAGAGGCACCGTGTCCTCCTTCCCCACGAACCTGCCCGCATCCCGACGAGCCTTCAGGCTCGACAAGGCGTCTCCTGCACAGAGAGTAAACACCGACTTCATTACCAGCCTGTGCAAGAAACCAGCAGCGATGCATGAAATCTCCATGGGGTTTCACTGCCTATTGTGGCATTATACTTCAGGTTGTAAATAATCAGATTCCTCAAAAAAAAAAAAAAAAAAAAAGTGTATAAATAAGATTTAAAATATTAAGATAAAAATTGCATCACAAACAGTCTGAGTTACCATTTGAGGGATGAAGGCTGCTCTGGTGACCGACGTGGATCAATCCACAGACGCACAAAAGGGAAATCCACCATGGCATCCTCAGCATCATCACCTTCCTTTCTTTGGTAGGAAATTAAAAGCAATGCAGTATATCCCAAAATATGAACCTCTCGCAGCTCTGCCTTCGCTAGGGGAAGCGGAGGGTCTGGTTGGAGCAGTCCGCCTGATGGTGGGCCATCGGTGGGTCGCTGACGCGTCTGAACGCAGAGAGCGGCTGAGCGCGGATCGGTGGGAGGGAGGCAGAGAGGGAGGGGGACACCTCCTTAAAAACACCAACCTCCAAACGTCTCTCTGCAGAGACGCCTGATGCATAAATATGAGCAAAGGGAGGATGGAGACAAACTACGGGCTTCCGGAGCTGATAGAGGAGATCTGAGGTGACGAAGCGGAAGTTTGCTTCCGATTCGGAGAAAGAATAAAGGGCGATTTCCC